CTGATTCTCCGATGAACCAGCTACCACCCATCCGAACTATGTTTCCTGAAATACAGGACAAAATAGTCTATAGTTACACAATACAATCGAATAGTTTTTAAAACTATTCGATAGTTTAAAGTATTGAAAAATGTCCATCACTAATTTAAACGCCAAGAGTTACATACAATTGATTAGTATTTCTATTAAAACGATTTATTACGATATAAATACTAAAAATAAGATAACTGATTTTAATGAAATGTTGGGCTTTTTCCGTAAACTGTTAATAGTAATTATATAAGTTCCTTACCTTATATCAAACTAAACATAACCATTTTTTAAATATGCATACAATTTTCTGTATAAAGATATCAATTTAAAACCTGCACGTAGAATTACAAAAAAGGTAAAAGTTAAAATATTTTTAAATTAGAAACTTTCGTAATGATCAACTGTAAAGGAACAAAAATATAGATAAGCATGACATTTTGATTCAAAATTTTACACGGATTATTTTTAACATATTAAAAATGAAATCAGTTAAGAATGTAAATACTCGTTTTTAGATATTAATAATTATATCATGAAAAAGGAATCATAGAAATAGTGATAGGATTTTACTGTGTAATTTAGTATAAAAACAAATTTTATACAACTATTGATTTTGGAAATATTTCATTAAAAAAATATTGTTGAATTTATCATTTTTTATAGAATGTATTTGTCTAAATTCCTAAAATTAAGAGATTTTTTTCCCAATATTTGATGGTTATTAATTCAACTAGATTAAAATCGATTTCAAACTTCCAAGCAGAAATAAAAGAAAGGTTAAAAAAAAAAAAAAAATTTTTTTAACATCAGATTTTTAATAATATGTTGATTAAAATTTGTAAATGTAGAAAAGCTATTGCAAAAAAACTCACAATATTACTTTTGGACAAAATTACAATTTTTTAAATAACTTAGATTCATATGGTTTTATTGGGATACTTTTAAATTCAGATAGTTTTACACTTTATAAGTTCCCTTTATAAAAAAAATGAAAATTCACTATAACTATAAAGTAATTTACTATATAATTAAGAAATCTGAAAATGCTTTAATATAGATTTAGAAAAATAACTAGTAATAAAGTAAATTTCATACATAATTAAAAAAATTAATAACAAGTTTTCTTCTTGATTTTTATTTTTCAACAATAAATACAATTATAATTTTTCTTATTATATTGTTATAATTCATTTTATGATTACCAAAGATTCAATTTTATTTAACTAAAAATGAGACGAATCGGCCTTAATATTTCTTTTACATTTTTCATTGCATTCTTTTATAAGAAATCAACAATAGTCACCCATTATTACTTTACCCAAAACCTTTGGTAACGACCTTTTGTGATACATATTTGTTGATGATAACGTTCACAATGCTCATCACTTTCATTTCCAAGATTTCAGGAACAAAATCTAAGTGTGCATGAAGAAAATATATTTTCAATGACATGTTCGCCCCTATTTCCGATAAAATTAAAAAATATCATATATTTTTTATACAGAAAATAATAAAATTATAAAAAGTACTGTTTACCTATTTTTGAATAGTATATCAATTAATCGTCTACTATTTCTCAATAATTTAATCTTTTAAAGTTTCCTAAACTTTTTGTTCAAAAAAATCATAATTTTTAATATTTGCAATTACGTTTGTTTTCCATACAGCCAAGGTGTATTTTAGATGGACAAGAAGCACGTTGTTCAAGGTGCCACAGTCAAATAAAATATGTGCATCCTCCAAATAAACACAGAGTGATACCATGTGGTCATGCTTGGTATTGCAGTAAATGCATTGATAATGCCAATTGTGCAAAATGTGGAAAGGAATTTTAAAAGATAAATTGTGAATATATTTATAAAACAATGAATTAATTTATTGTAGTTCTTTCTTTAAATAATATTATTTAAATTCATTTATAAATATTTTTATAATGAATATTAAATTAACATTGTATTATATTGTCAGTTCATTATGTTGCAGCTTTAGTAATTTAACATTTTATATTAATAGGTGTAAATAAGACGGTGGCATTAGTAATTTTTTACTAGTCATTTCTCGGTTGCGCTCCTCTACTCGTCGATTGATAATCAAATTATTTTGCCATGGCAGATATGAAAAACCTTAATTTTAAACATCATCAAGAGAGCTGGGCCTCCTTACACTAATATTTTTTAATTTTTTTATTTCGTTTATTTTAATATTTTTGTTTTATTTATTTTTTTATTCGTTTATACTATTCGTATATCAAGATGTTAGTAAGGATTTTGCAAAAACGTTTTCTTTTAGAATAATACATTGTCGAATTTTTTTACGTATAAATAATAACTAAGTCTTAAAATTTAATTTCCTACACTTGTAGAATTCACAATTTATATATAATAATTTTGCTCAATAACTTTTGATATGAGTTATTATATTTAAAGAATTTCAATAATAAAAACCCAGCACAGTGGGGTCGTGGTATAGTTGGGTCCAGTATAGATGATATCTGACAGTGATTAAAATCACTATCATAAAAAACGCTTCGATGCAAATCTGTAGATAGTGTTTAATTTAAAAAAAAAAATTGTTAAAATAGCATATTTTTGAATATAGTAGCCATTTGCGCATAGAAGATAGGTCGTCGGGACAAATTTTTTTTTTTTCATTTTATAGTACATAAAATAAGCTTTAATTTGATATATGTTTAAAGGACGCAGTATTTCCGGAACATTTTCAAAAATTAAGTTGAAAAAGTTATTTTTTGTAAAAAAGTTACTATTTTAAATCCTCCCAGTGAGCAGAATAAGTGTTAGATTTTCAAAAAAAATTATATCAAATGAAAGGGAAATATCTAAGGTTTCAATACAAAAAAATATTATTTTTATTTGATCATTTTTGAAAAGTTATGGCAGTTTTAAGTACAAAAAACATCCCGATAAAAGGTAATATTTATCGCAAACATTACATTTTTTTTTAATGTTCGACAGCCATTTGCATATAGAAGATAAGATGTCGGGACAATTTTTTTTTTTTCATTTGATAGTATATAACATAACCTTTGATTTGATATATGTTTAAAGGACTCAGTATTTCCGGAACATTTTCAAAAGTTCAGTTGAAAAAGATCTATGTTTTTTACAATATTTCAAGTTTTGAACACCCCCTATATAAGGGGACATTGTCCAATTTTAATAAAAAGTATGTCAAATGAAAAAAAAAATTTGTGCTGATGTATACATTTTTCAAAAAGTTATAGCATTTTTAAGTTGAAAATTTAAAATCGAAAATTTTAACACAAAAATAGTGTTTTTTTAACTACGGCAGCCGTTTAAATGTAGAAAAAAAAGTGTCGGGACAAATTTTTTTTTTCAATTTGTAGTACATAAAATAAGCTTTAATTTGATATATGTTTAAAGGACGCAGTATTTCCGGAACATTTTCAAAAATTAAGTTGAAAAAGTTATTTTTTGTAAAAAAGTTACTATTTTAAATCCTCCCAGTGAGCAGAATAAGTGTTAGATTTTCAAAAAAAATTATATCAAATGAAAGGGAAATATCTAAGGTTTCAATACAAAAAAATATTATTTTTATTTGTTCATTTTTGAAAAAGTTATGGCAGTTTTAAGTACAAAAAACATCCCGATAAAATGTAATTTTTATCGCAAACATTACATTTTTTTTTAAATTTTCGACAGCCATTTGCACATAGAAGATAAGATGTCGGGACAAATTTTTTTTTTTCATTTGATAGTATATAACATAACCTTTGATTTGATATATGTTTAAAGGACGCAGTATTTCCGGAACATTTTCAAAAGTTCAGTTGAAAAAGATCTATGTTTTTTACAATATTTTAAGTTTTGAACGCCCCCTATATAAGGGGAAATTGTCCAATTTTAATAAAAAGTATGTCAAATGAAAGATGTACTTATAATGTATTTAGAAAAAAAAAATTTGTGCTGATATATACATTTTTCAAAAAGTTATAGCATTTTTAAGTTGAAAATTTAAAATCGAAAATCGAAAATTTTAACACAAAAATAGTGTTTTTTTAACTACGGCAGCCGTTTAAATGTAGAAAAAAAAGTGTCGGAACAAATTTTTTTTTTTTCATTTTATAGTACATAAAAAAACTTTAATTTGATATATGTTTGAAGGTCGCAGTATTTCCAATAACATTTTCAAAAATTAAGTTGAAAAAATTAATTTTTGTAAAAAAGTTGCCATTTTAAATCCCCCCCAATGAGCAGGTTAAGTGATAGATTTTCAAAAAAATGATATCAAATGAAAGGTAAATATCTAAGGTTTTAGTATAAAAAAAAATTATGTTGATTTGTTGATTTTTCAAAAAGTTATGGAAGTTTTAAGAAAAAAAAGTTAAAAAATTTTGAAAATTAGCGATTTTTAAATTTGTAATTTTTTTGGTTATTTCCCCCATTTGCGGGGAACGAGGGAACTTTTTTCAATTTTTAAGGGTAATATCTTCAACTAGATACAGTTTGTGATCTTTTGACGTATTTTTGAAAGAAATCGGTCAAGTGAGAGCTGAGAAAAAGTGACAACAGACATAAAAAAAAACACATCATAGTAAAATTAATACCTTCTCCGCTTCGCATCGAAGCTAAAAATGAAAATTGTATAAACACTTAAAAAAACGTATATAAATGTGGGATAATTCCTTTAATGGAAACCTATTCAAATGTCAATGGTAATTAATAATCGTTACATTAAAACGAAATATTCTTAATAAAAACGAAATATTTGGTTTTAAAGTACTATAAAAAAACTTTTTATATAATTAAATTTGATATATCACTGTTATTCTGTCATTATCATTAAAAAAAATTCGTATTTTTGCATATGAATAATAGTTTGAAATCTAAATTTATTTTACTAAACAGATTTAATAAAAATTCTTGAATAAATACATGTGCGTTTGCGTCAATGCATAAATTATGTTATTTATTATTTACACGAATTTAGAGGAGACAAGGACAAGTTGTCATCCTTAAGCTCTAATTAAATCTCTTAAAGAAAATATTCACCACACAGTTTTATTAGAAATTCTGGATATATAAAATAATCGGTAAATGCTCATTATTTAAAACTGATTATTAATTAATTTAAAAAAGTCAATTTCAAATTATTGTTTACAGGAATGTTAAAATTCTTTTGCTTAATTTAAGTATTGCTAAAAAATAACTAAATATGTATTACCTAATTAAAAGGAAGTCACTTCCTGCCAAACTTAAAAAAATATTGAGTATATTATAAAAATTGTCATTGTTTCAATAAAAAATTATTCTTCAAATATTTTCAATAAAAGTTAAGGATTATTACTATTTTCTCTTTTAATCCAAAAATATCGCTTTGATTTTAAATCAAATTATAAAGCAGATCTAAATAACAACTCGCCGCACTTTCCCTGATTAAATTATAAATTTATCTATTTATCTATGTCGAACCGATATAACTCATATAATAGACATCATACTTCTGTATAAAAAGTTAAATTATAGTTGATAAAATTAATTGATTCATGAATTTTCATTGAAATAGTTAATCTTCCAAAATATTTAAAAATTTTAAATAAAATTGGTATTAATTAAAAACGGTTAAGACAAAATAAACTGTTAAAAATAGATACATAAGTAATATAGTATTTTATTTTTAATTTAATGATCATTTGCTTTTTTCAATCAATCATTTCATTAAAGAAAATTCGTATTTTTGCGTGTATAAATAATTAATAAATTATATTTTAAATTACAATTGTTCATATACTATTAAAGTACACAGTAAAAGTTTATTTTTGATCATGTATTTAAAATACACTTGTAAGAGCTTATAAATACTCTTGTTAAAGTTATTCTGTTAATTCAATTTTTTTAGTTAGTATATACGTTTATTTCAAAACTGTTTAATTATAATTGATAAAATATTTTGAAATTTAAAAATTGTGTTAAATATTCTATTAGAATAATATGTTTCTCAATAAATTGAAATTAGTATTTTTTTTTATTCAAACAATCAACCAATCAATTTGTGTTGATCTAAATAACATTACACGTGAGGACATACAGACTTTGGAAATGGAATACCCAAATATTCATCAAGTCATTCTTCAACAACATCCTTATTATATACAATCAAGAAATGAGGTATTGTTTTGTCCACTACCTTACAGTCACGTAGTAGATGATGAAGATATTCCTTATGAAGAAGGTTTAGAAATAATAAATAAAACATTAACACTTGTGGTTAGTAGATGTGTGAACAAAAAAAATTATAAATTGGCTTATACAATTTTTTTGAACGCCATTGAAAGTATGGTCTTTACATTCATGTATCGGTTCTGCGAGTTTGCAATAGAAATGAATAAACAACGTGCTGAAATATCATTTTACTTAAAAAATTTTAGTGGAAAACTTGCTGAACTTATACCGATAATTAATAGAGAATGGATTTCTCCTGAACCGCATGAATGTATTTTAGATGTTTACAAAAATCACAAATCTAAGGAATTCAAATTTAATAAATTCAACAGAAATTACAAAAATGCTTTATTAAACTGCATGAAGTTAATGGAAAATAAAGTGCATTTTTTAAAAGAACCTAATAATATATCAATGAATAATATGGCTGTAAGCGACTTAGAACGTTACTATAATATCAGTTATAATGTTATAGGTTATCAATTGTCTTTAGCACATAATTCTACTCTTTTCAAATACAAAAAACTCAAATTATACTATAAGTATATATTTGGTAAATAACTGTACATGTTTAAAAAACAACTGTTCGTATACTCGGCTACTAGTTTTTAAGTTTTTTAAAGCGTTAAAAGAAAACTTATATTGCTTTTGAACTGAAAACTAAAATTAAAAATTTCTGGAAATTATTACCGATACAAGTATTTAACATTTTTTTCTATTTTTTTCTGTAGATGAAAGCAAATGTTTTGGATGTAACAAATACAGTAGCGGTGATTCGGGAATATACTTTTTTTCACCATGTGGACATGGCTGGTCATGTGAAAGGTGTGTTAAAAAAATTGAAGCTTGTCCTGTATGTAATGAATTGATTACAAGTACTCAAGAACTAAATATACAAACATCTGTGTCAATAGTACCCGAAAGTATATAAATTATAATTACTTATTGAAACATTAATGAAATAAAATATTGAGGTTGAAATAAATAAAAACTTGAGTGGTCTACAGGGGCGGATCCAGAATTTATTCCAGGGGGGGCGTCATTAGATACATATTTTTCTTTTAAGAACTGATTTATTATTTTGTGTTTATTACATTTCTATTTTTAAACATTCGTTTAATGCTTGCTGCATAATAATTTGTTTAATTACTATAGTATATGGTTTTTAATGACTCTGAGGACATAGGTATATAAAAATAAACGCGTTAATCAAAATTAATTGCATATGAAGAACTTCATTTGAAATTATAAGCTATTTACCAAATAAAAACAAAATATAGGGTCAAGTGGGTTAAATGGAAATGAAATTTACATGTTTTACGACTTTTATTAGATTCATGTAGTAATAATTTTTTTTAATTTTGGTTTAGATAAAAACTATTTAACTATATACAATATGTGTCTATTATTTCAATCAAACGTTTAAATAGTTGATTATCTTAAGAGAAAAAAATAATATAAAATTGCATAAAAAATTTACATTTGCCCCAAACTTCTGGGGTAAATGAAAATATCTATTTCCAACAGCAAGTGTTATATTGAACAAACATAATGGGCAAATGAAATTGTTCTGTTACAGCTATCGTTATATTATTTCATATATTCGATACCTACAAATTTCCATTTGTCCCAAATAGTATATTGTGTATGGGGTAAATGAAAATAAAAGTATTNTTGTGTATGGGGTAAATGAAAATTAAAGTATAGTTTATAATGTTATAAGCCCGGGGCAAATGAAAATTTGTTTGAATTACATATTACAATTAAATTAGTCAAATAATTAGGTAATCTTTATTATTTTAACATAATTTAGTACAGTTTAATACCTACTTACTATTTCATAAATTTTCAAAATATATTAACAGTCTTTTGTTTTCATATAATAGTGATAACAATAATTTAACATAAAAAATAACAATGTAAAGTAAAAATTATAAACAAAATAACAAACTAACAGCATTTTTAGTTTTAAAATATATCACATAAATTAATGTATGAATAAGTAGGTAACATAGTGCCTAAACTGATTATTTTTCATCGACATTTATGTATCCAGGAAATGTGTATATCGTTTTTTTGTTCTTCTTATGTTCAGTTGGTATTGGTAATATTGCAAGAATCATCTCTACTGTAATATCTGACAAGTCATTTTCAACAATATAAAAATCAGTTCCAATTTCATTATTTTTTTTTAATCCTCGGACTAAAATATCCCCATCATCTTCATCTACACGTTTAACTAAACATACATACTTAAAATGTTGTTTCTTACGGTTCCCTCCAATAAAATCTTTTAAAAGAAATACTCCAGGTTTTATTTGAGACCAAATTGGTGTATTGTATAAAACTTCTTCAATACTTAAATCTAATGAATTATCATTACAATCATCTCCTGATGAATGATAAACTCATCATCAATATTATCAATTGATTGTTCCAACACAATATTTTGTACATTGTTGTATTTAATATGGAACAATCATTTTGTTCTAACTTATAGTTATAGTAGTTCAATAATAACGCAAAATGTAGTTAATAAAGATATAATCAATCAAAATAAAAC